GGAGTTCAGTGTGTTTTGGAGCTTATTTTTTGTATTTTCAATGAATATTTGCAGTAACACAGTTATATAACATCACTATTTTCAAAGATATGTACAATTAATGCCTGTTGGAATACATTTTAATGCGTTTTAATTACATTTAAGGCCTTTATTTCACAATTCATTCAATAATAAATAAATGACCCTAACAAATTGATATATTGCCACACAGTAGTGCATTTCTTTAAAAAAAAGAAAGAAAGAACAGAACAGACCATTTTAGAACACACAATTTTTAATAAAAATTACATAGCACATGGACTCAGAACAGTATTTTAGAAGTTTAGCAGTACTCTAAAAACATGTTATTTTTTCTTTTCTTTTATTTTTTTATATTTATTTATTTAGTATTTATACATATTTGGGGGTGAAGGAAAAAAAAAAAAAAAACACGTTTAATTACTGACCCCCAGAGCTTTTCTCTTCAGTCCATGTTTCCTCTCTGGGGCGTACCGCAGCCATTTTTTGACAACGTCTCCAAAGGCCAATTCAGTAATGGACTTGTCATAATGACGTGCAGCCGCTAAAAAGGGTAAGAAAAAACACACAAAAATAAGTAAATCAGAAAAAAACAAAACCTAACTTTATTTATACACTGCATATGACATAGGGTTCAGATTAGGTTACAAATAATTTGTTACCTGAAATTTGGTAAAAAGTATTCAGGATTGTTAGGAAAATAAATAAATGAATAACGTTAATAAACACAATAAAAGACGCGCGCACAAAAAAAAAAAGTTTTATTTAGTTTTAGAGCCTAATAGCAAAGAAATACTGTATGTTTTATATAGTTTAAAAGTTTTAGAGGTTATGCACATGCTATCGAACAAATGAACATCAAATCAAGTTCTACAGTATGGCCCTTAAGGGTCCTATATCATGCAAAATCAACTTTTAGAGCTTTTAACCATGTTGTAATGTTATTTCCTTATCAAAAACACCTCCAGAGTGTTCTTTGGTTTCATTCACGCATATCTCAGTAATCCTAATGAGTCATGCTCTATGAGCAGCAGTGCCCATTTTACTCATTTCACGTAAGATTGTAAAACCAGGAAGTGCCCGACATCTGTAATGTAATGAAGAATGTGAGCATGTGTGCCTTACGGCCTGATTTCAATTCGTAAAACAGCTTTTCCATTATTTCTGTAAGAAAGTGCCCGACGTGTCTGCGCTGCCCCAGCAGACTAAACAAACACAGCGCTGAAGTTAAGAAGTGGCTCCTTTCTAACCTACTCTGGACACTCTTTTATTCTTACCTAACGATAATTTCTCGGCGAAAATGCGTGTTTGGCTGCAAGAGGTACAAGACGTTATTCAAACTTCTGAAGAAGATGACATAGTCTGGGATCGCGTCTTTAATTCAGACAGAAGACATGTTTTATTGTCGATGGTAGAGACAGCACGAGCACGATCACAGATACAATAGAATGCAAGTGTATTATACAGAGCGGAGGCATGGAGACCTCCAATCAGCAGCTGCCACAGTGCCATGTAGCTTGGCCTTCAGATAGACACAACAAGGGAAAAGTACTGGCTTCTGCACATTGATAGAATGATGAGTTTAACTTTAACAAAAGTTGCTTCAAAGTGTTATGAAATCTCATATTCCCCCCTCTGGTCATACATTCACGTGTGACCATCAGGATCGATAAACAGCAACATAACATCATATCTCAATACTTCAAAAACTCATAAACTCGGTACTTCAAAAAACTCAGAACTCGGAATACTTCAAAAACTCAGAAAACTCATAAAACATGTTCAGATCTTTCATAAAACTTGTCAACAATCTTCAGTAAAATACCAAACTTCATCAGTCGATGGTGGTTCCAGATATTGCTTTGAAAACAGTCTCTCCCACTTCTCCTGTTGGTTTCTTCAGGCTGCATTTGTGTCGAGCCATGAATTCTTCTGTGACGTGTCTTTCAATCACACGTTTCAGCTTCAGTGTCCAGATTCAGCAATTCAATTCAGTCCAAATTATGTCCAAATTCAGAAATCCAGTTGTTCCAAATCATGTCCAAATTGTGTAATCCAATTTTTCCAAATGATGTCCATGCAAAAGAGGACGCTGGTGTTGTCCATGTCTCAGCAGCTCACTGCCTGAGTAGAATCAGGGGCTGTGCAGATTGTCCATGTGCTGGTCCAGATGCATTCTCTTGAGGTTTTTCAGTTTTGGCTTAAAAAAAAAAACACTTTTTGTGTAAAAAAAAAGTCTTCTGTTCTCTAGATGTTACAGACAAGGCCCGCATTCTTCCACCACCTGAAGAAGATGACATGTCTGGGATCGTGTCATAAATTCCGACAGAAGACATGTTTTATTGTCGATGGTAGAGACAGCACGAGCACGATCACAGATACAATAGAATGCAAGTGTATTATACAGAGCGGAGGCATGGAGACCTCCAATCAGCAGCTGCCACGGTGCCATGTAGCTTGGCCTTCAGATAGACACAACAAGGGAAAAGTACTGGCTTCTGCACATTGATAGAATGATGAGTTTAACTTTAACAAAAGTTGCTTCAAAGTGTTATGAAATCTCATACTTCCTAAAGACTAACCAGACAGAATCTGTTTGTCTATGATTGTCACTTCACCAATGGATGTTTGGCAAACCTTGGCCAGAACCAAAGAGGATTAACTCTTACAAAAATAAAAACACCCGATGGGGAGGCCAGAGCAGTAAGTAAATCAAAATGCGATCATTATATTTCTACGACATGAGCGGTCATTATTTTTTCAGAGGTCCTCTAGCAGAAAAGTCATGACCCGTAGAACGCTGGAAAATCCCATTCAAGTCAATGGAGCGTTCTACTTGCATTGTGAAGAGCCGTATAATAAATGCCTTTAGTTTACCCTTTAATTTGAGACAGACTCACCAAACATGCAGTCCAGTAAGGAGGTGCTCTCGAAGGCCCTTTTACCTCCTTTTCCCTTCCAGTTAAAGAGGCAGGCCAATTGGTTTGAGAGGACGGCTGACGCCATGCGCCGAATCATGCATCCAGAATCCACCCCTCCGACTAATGTCAAACGGGCCACCTTAAAGAATAAGAAAAAAATGGTGTCATGAACAATACAACTGATATTGAAATGTAGTTCATATGTCAGGTAGATGTTTTCACATCTAGGAAAAATTCTAATCCTACTTTACTATATTACTGTTATTCACCAGCTTCCGTCGCATTGCCTCTTCCTTAAGCACTGTCTCCAGGTCATTGAACTGCTCCTCGGTCATCAATCATTAAATGACAAAAATATTTAAGTATTTTTAATGAATTTTTATATGTAAATATTAGCATTTTAGCTCAATAGCTTCCAGGTCATGTGACCTATTGACTCCAAATCAGGTCAGGATCATAGTCCTCCACTAGCTGCAGGGGGTACACCTCTTCTTTTATCATTAAAATGTTGTAAGTATTTTTAATGATTTTTTATATGTAAATATTAGACCAGCGTACATGTCTCCGCGTGTTTACCGTACTGTGTGTAGTAGGGGTGCACTAAAATGTTGGAGCGGCTTTCGAGTCGCTCTGAACCCAGAGAGAAGGAGAGGTGTACCGAGAGGGAATGACCGTTGAATGTCTGTCGGATATCCAACTTCAAACTAACTTCACCGCGGTAGCCCGCAACAGTTTATGTCAGAAAACACACTGTAGTTGACGGACAGTTGCTGTCGATGTACGCGCTGTTATTTCCGAGACTGGTCTGCTACTGGTATGGGGTAAGGTTACTGTCAATAAAGACGTGCATGTTTAAAAAAATGCGTGCACATTTATCGGTATTTGTGCATACAAATAATTTATTCATTCATGATTAAGATAATACAAACTCAAAAGACATGGAATTTCGTAGTTAAGAATAAAAAAATATAAAACTATATGCGTGATTTCTTACTTGTGAATACGATTTTTTTTTGTGTGCTTGCATTTTCTTCTTTGAGAAACGAATTTCAGCAGTGAGCAAACTGTCAATATTACGTCACTGCTCACAGACATTAACAATCGAGCCTGCGCTAAGTTGATCAACTTCATTGCCGCAAATCTAAAACATGGCAGAGGGCAGCAACTCTATCAACGTGGCTCAGAATCAGGTATATAACTATTTTATTATTTTGGTCGCAAATGAATGTGTTGGAAAAGTTATTTCGATAAAATGTGTTCATAAGATGTTTCTGCCCCCCTCTAGAAACGTTTTTTTTTGGCACTGTTGTTAGCTCCAATGCTAGTTTTATTCATTTATTCTGGTATTGTTTTATTCAACAGAATATTATGCATTTTACTTCGTTACACATTACATCTGCTTTATTTGTATTGATATGATAAACCATTTAATTAGGCCTGACTTTTTGGATTTTCTGTGTGCTAGGTCCCGCTAGCCGATATTATTAATACGGCCCAAAACTTGCTTAGCATGCTAAATAAACAGCATAACTAGCGTTAGACCTATAGACAATAGGGAATCCGGCGCCTCATCATCTCAGGGACAGAAAGAGGACAACCAAGGGACAACCAGGCCTTTGCGGGCGCATTCGGTACATCAGGAAATGGCAAGGTATGAATATTGTGTAGACGTCCTGCAGCAATAATATTTGAATAAAATTAAACTGTAATAGCAATGTTATTTGTTTTGTTTTTTTTTTTATCTGGCGGGCAGTACATCCAGTTGACACAAATATTTGACGATAATTTTAATAATCAATTCATCTTTGAGTAATTCTTTCATCTCTAATCTTTTACTTGTTATTTTATCTATGGTTTTTTTTCCCTTTCAGATCTTTTCCAGGGCTCTTTCGAAAGGAAGCAAGGGGGAAAAAGCGATTCACTCAGCATCACAGAAAACCAAAGTCCTTCTCAGTTAATTTTGTCTTTTTGGACAGAAAACAGTCAAAAACACCAAAAGGAGAGTATGAGCTAAGACTTCTTTTAGCAGGACTTGGAAAACGGTCTTTGCTTGTTGACGAAATGATGACTCACTCACAGGTATGAAGTGATGGACATATACTGTACATAGAAAGTATATAACAAAGTTCATTTTGGAACCACAAGTTACTACTTTGCAATAATTTAAGGACAGGAGATGCTAGTAACATCGATTCATTGTCTAATCATTTTCATTCATCTGTTGTCTTTATTTGGAAAGCTCTGCAGGTCTACTTTGTTGGGCTATACACATAAAATTGATTATTTGCTTACACAGAGGTAAATAAGTAAAACTCACTGCTAAACATGTTCTACATTCAAATACTCACATATAGCCTTTATTTGAAGTATCAAATCCATTTCCCAGGATTGGAAACACTGATATACATAGTACAAATGCTTGTAAACATAGTACAATAGGTTTGAAACAGAAAACTTGTATTGCCATTGTTGCCACACAATTTTCAAACTCTTAACTTGCTTTGACAATAAGGTGCAACATGAAACGCATCAATAAACAATATTAATAGAAATTGGCTGACTGTGGTTAACTCTCATTATTCCAGTAATGTGTTGTTTTTTTCTAGTTGAGTGAGATGCTTTGGAAGGCCTACCCAAAGCTTGAGCTTGTGAGGAGGCTGGTTGCTACATAAGTCTACAGGAAAGAAATGCATTTGTCAAACTTTTATGATCATTTTATGTACTGTAGGTAATATTTATTTATTTTACATTATTATTAACAGGGGGAGGTGGACAACGCGAGCTCATAATAATTCCTCCCGAAGCAGAAGGGTACCATGGTCTGCAGTTAAAAGCGGTTACTGGAAGTGGAAAGTGCACTGTGTACATTGTCCCTCTTCAGGACACTGTGGACATGGCACCATTACCCCCTGATGCACCTGAGTTTAAACTCATGCCGAAGGCTCCATGTGCCACCTGCAACATGTTGGTCCCACTTCAGTCACTTCCGCTACATGTCAAGACATGTAAAAATGAGCTTGTGGACTTGTCAACATCAGATGATGTGTGTTAATTATTAATTTTAAAAAGTATATTCATTAATTGGATAAATACAACTATTTCATATACGTTTTACAGGAGCTACTTAGTGAATGTCCAATGCCAGCAATGTCCCCAGAAAAGAAGAAAGACAAGGTGAACTGTTCAGATATTTTTATTTTTTTTCTGTATAGTGAAATGATATATACTTTTTTCCCAGACTGAATGTCCAGTGTGTAAAACAATGTTCTGCACAGACCTAATAGAAGTCCATGCAGCAGAGTGTGGATTGAGGTTCTTGAGGATTGAGGAATGAGGAATGTACTGCTGATTGCCGTGTAATGCTCTTTTGATATTGTTACTGCAGATCGGAAGTCCAGAATAACACAGAAGACATTGGTTTTGTCTCAAGCAAGGATGTTTCTGACTTTGAAGTTCATTCTATCGATTCATTCCAAAGGTTGTTTGTTTTTTAACTTTAACTACTTTGATTTTTGTAATTTCTTCATTCCTTATAAAAAAAATTTCAGTTTGGACCAAATACTGAGCTGGATAAGTTCTCAAGTACAGGATGGCACGTTTGAAATTTGTGTATCAAGAAGTGATATTTTCAATAGAGGAATGCATCAGTGGCAGCGCCAGAAGAAGTCCTCTCCAAAATTCAAACTGATGGTGTCTTTCATAGAGGAAAACGGCTTTGACACGGGTGCCCTAAGAAAGGAATTCTTAACGGGTATTTTCTTCATTCTTTTGTTGAACTCCTTGTTTGATATTTTTGGTCACTCCCCATATTCTGCCTTTAACAGAGATGATTGCAGAAATAGAGAAAAGGCTCTTTGTTGGTGGTGTGGACAAAGAAGGGAAAAATCCAGTCTACTGTCTGGGGAGCCTGGACAAAAACTATTTCCGGTACATTTCACACGTGTTGAACTTTGATTTACATGACGTGCAGCTGGGTGATACATTTCACCTAATCATTATGAACACGTATATTACACATATTTTAAGATTTGAAACAACTAGTTTGTATTGAGTATTTACTGCTAATTGTTTCTGATTGATTAATAGAGCTGCTGGTGAGATTATGGCAGCGAGTATTGCCCAAGGCGGACCACTCCCCTCCTTCATGAGAAAGTGGTGTTATGCATATATTTGTTCAGGCGATGCAGATGACATACAAGTGACATCAGATGATGTAACTGATGTAGAACTTTCTCAACTCATTACAAAGGTTGTTGTCGTGTTAGTTTGTTTTTCACATTTAAAAAAGGTTTATAACAATATTACTGCTTTTAGATACAAGAAGCAAGTAATGAAACAATTGGCGAACTGATTGATGGATTGATGAACTGTGGATACACTGGGATAATTTCGGACAACAAAAAAGATGTTATGACCAGGTAAGGGTTTTTGGTTACGAGCTGAGGTGGGTAGTACCCAAAAGTTGTATTTTACTTCAAAACAATAATGTATAGACAGAAGGTAGTCAATTACTAAAGAGGAAGATTAAAAACAAAGTAAGTCAAATTTCTCGATCTTGAAATGCGCTCACATTAGCGCTCTTAAGTAATTTTTATTAGATGTTTTTTGTGAAATTACTCTTTAGTGAGAAGGGTAACAACAACTGTAAGAGCAGTGTGACATCAAACTAAATGTTACTCAACTAGTGAGTAAAACTCACATATAAGATTAAAGTTATGCAAGTGTGTGTAAATGAGCTAAGAGCGCTACCCGCTTCTGGTTATGAGTTAAACAATGTTAAATTGTTAAATCTGAATTCTTGCTTTCAGATCTGTTGTACTGCACTCCACTATGAGGCTGATCCCCATGTTAGATCAGCTTAGAAAAGGCCTGCAGCTGTATGGCCTACTGAGAGTTCTGCATATGAATGCTGACATTTGTCTGCCTCTTTTTGTTTCTGGAGAAGACGATGGGGTATTCTCTTTGTTTCAAAAAATGTCTTTATATATTGTTGGTGTTGTACTGAACGGAAGTTTTGGCTTTTTTCCAGGTGGATGCCGCCTTTATCATTCAGAAGTGTCACCCTGAGTATAGCGAAAAGGGCTCAGTTAGATACACCAGAGAAGTAAACATCATGAATTTCTTTCAGGATTTTCTACAGGACATAGAGGATCAAGATGATCTTGGTAAGCTTTTTGGTTTAGGCAAAATCACACAAAATGATATAAGAAGCGCTGGTAATAATTAAAAAAAAAATACACATTGTGGACAATTCAGTTTTGTAACTCAACAATTAAATACAAGGTAGAGTATACGTTGATTAATATAACACTAACACTAATACTAAAACAGTAATTTTGTGTCAAGTTTGGTAAAATAAAAGTAAATGCTATCAATAATACATCCATTTTCTTCCTTTCCCGGGTGGCGGGGGCAGAAATCCAAGCAGAGACGCCCAGACTTCCCTCTCTCATACACTTTCTCTAGCTCGCCCGGGGGGACCCCAAGGCGTTCCCAGGCCAGCTGAGCGATAATCCCTTCAGCGTACCAAAATAGTATTTTCGTTCTTGATTAAACAAGGTGTCATACATGCAAAGGGGTGTTGAAAAGCACCTGCCCCTTGTTGTCCCAAGCTCTTTTCCTTTGACTATTGTAGATACTCTTAATCTCCATTTTTGCATTCCACATTTAGTTCATACCCTTTCTGCTCTGACTTTTTTTTTTTCTTACTTGGGAGTTTAACATATTTATATGGGACATTGCAGCCAGGTCTTTAAAATGTAATGTCTGGGTTTTCATGGGTAAGTATAAGCATTGGTACGTATCTTACCATTTACATTGTCTTTGTGTACTGTAGAGGCTGAAGTTGAAGATGGCCATAAAAAGTTGACAGTTGGAAGAGTCATGCAGTGGATCACCGGCCAGGGACACAAACCTTGTCTGCCAAGTGAGAAGGCAGATTTCAAAATATCTGTCAGATTCCACCATGATTGCGACTCCTTCCATACTATTTGCTTTCCAACTGTTAGTGCATGTAGTCGTACCATTACATTTCCTGTGGTGCACTTGACAACATTGAATGAATTCAAATATGTCATGAATACAGCTTTGATGTATGGACAATCTTTTTACATAATATGAATATAGTCACCATACCACTCCCATATTGCCACAGGGTTACTAAAAAGTAAGTTATTGTTTTGTTACCTGTGGGCCATATGCATACTTTTTTGCCTTTGCAACAAATTGAATTGTTTCATGGATAAGAAAAATATTGTTCAAGGTTAGTTGTTGAATTAAAAAAAAAAAACCTTTTCATTCACAGGTTGTTTTATTCATTCATTGAAAAGTTCTGAATGTACTGAACCATCGATACATATATATCTGTACCGTAACAATCAGAGTGGGCAAGTGGATTGAATATGGATGTTACAGCATCCATAATAACAGAAGGTAGTAGATGGTAATTTTCTGGGACCTGGACTCCAACAGGTTCATCTGTGACACCGTCAAATGTTTCAAATGTGTCAGTTCCAAACATTTCAATGTCCTTGTGGGTAAAAAAATACATCTTAGTAAAATGTCAATAATATAGCGACAGGATTATGCAAGGTTTGAAATGAGTAACCATGGTAGAACCATGTCACACTTTATGTTGGCCATTTTATAAGTTTAAATCAACAAAATATATAAAAGTATCAATATGATGCACAGGGGAATAGACACCAGAAATGTAAATAAACAAACCTGCAAATCCTCTTCATTTTGGTCAGTGGACTGCATGTGACCCATAACCCACAATTGGTTGGGGCTCAATCCTCCTTCAGACTTCAAAGGATGATTGTCCCACGCTTCTGTGAAGGTATGAAGTGAGTTGGCCAGTCTAGGCAGAAACACGTAATGGGCACAAAACAAATGCAGGGAATCCGACAGATCAAGAAAGCCATCCTCCTCAAGAGTGTGTAGTACATCGTAGTACAGTTGCGTTACACTGGTCCAAACATCTCGCCAAAGACGTTCAATTCTAAAAAAACAATACAGCAACAACCACAATGAGCAAGATCAAAGAACGGTAATCATCATTACAAAAACTAATTTAATTACTAGTAATTGTTGCACCTACAGTTCACTTGTTTAAAGTAACTAAAACTCCCCCCAAATCAGAAGCAGCACTAAATTTCATCACTTGGATGTAGAAAAAGGTGTGGCTGTCATCAAAACAAAACACAAAAGAATGGACGACTGAGGAAAATAATTTTTCACAGCACTTTAGCTATTTTTATCATATTCTGCCAAAAGTAACTCAAAGTAACAAAGTGTTACTCTGTTACATTTAGCAGCAGCAGTAATTTGTTATTCAATTACATACATTTTTTAAAACTGTAACTAGTAATAGTAGTAACAATAGTATACATGTTGTAATCAGTGTTGGCGAGTCACTTTAACATTGTATTTTAGGCACTATGTGGTGGTGAAAAATACATCACAGTCAGCCTAGATGGTGTGAACAAAAGTTTAGCGGATCCTGTTTATTCTTGTTCAGTTATGTGATCAAAATGTGAATTAACTAATTTAGCCTGTAGAGGAGCCAAGCAGCTCCTTCAGGGACAGACGCCTCCAGTGCAAGAAGGAGCAGCTCCTATTTGGGTGACTTGGCTCATCTGAGGTATTGCTTTCTGTAGTTGCTACCTCAGTGGTTGTACTTGTGTCGAGATATTGTCCGGCCTGGCTCCCACAACACAATTATAGCAAATTACTTTCATAATGGTTTATAAACATACCGCCTGGTGTGTTCCTTTGTCTTCATGGTTCTCTCTGCGCTTTAAACAGAACCCTGAGACTATCAAAGAGCAGGTGCATTTATACGGAGACTTGATTACACACAGGAGCATTCTATTTATCATCATCAGTCATTTAGGACAACATTGGATCATTCAAAGATCCTCACTGAACTTCTGGACTGAGTTTGCTGCACTGAAAGTAAAGGGGCCGAATAATATTGCACCTCCCACTTTTCAGTTTTTTATTTGTTAAAAAAGTTTAAATTATCCAACAAATTTCATTCCACTTCACGATTGTGTCCCACTTGTTGTTGATTCATGACAAAAATTTAAAATTTTATATCTTTATGTTTGAAGACTGAAATGTGGCGAAATGTTGAAAGGTTCGAGGGGGCCGAATACTTTCGCAAGGCACTGTACAAAGACAAGTATATGCAAATGAGATAACACTGGTGAGCAAAGGTAAAGCATTATCAAAAAACAACAAAATGTACAATTTGGATCTCTTCTTGGATAAAGACAAAGTGCTCAAGGTGGGAGGAAGGCTGCAACACTCATCGCTGCCAAACTCGATAAAACTGTCATTCCGAGAGAGCATCACATCACAAAATTGATAATTGCTGTGAAGGTTTGTTTAAGGACCTGCACATTTGCTCCACTTTAAACGGACCAGGATTCGTTTGGAACTCTGATCCGAATCTTTTATGCAGGTCTGAATACACACAAACGAATCCTGGTCCGGACCAAAGAACCGAACCGAGACCCACTTTTTGAGGTGGTCTCGGTCCGCTTCCAAACGAATTCTGGTCCAAGTCGAATCAGGTCTGAATACATCCGGTGTCGATCCGACACAACTCCAAGATACGTGCGCATTTTTTGGGCTTAACAAGCCGCAGACAGAAACTGAGGAATTAGCCATGCAGCGGCTAACTATGATGCTAACTATGCTGCTAACTATGTGCTAACTATGATGCTAACTATGATGCTAACTATGTGCACTATGATGCTAACTATGCTAACTATGATGCTAACTATGTGCTAACTATGATGCTAACTATGATGCTAACTATGATGCTAACTATGATGCTAACTATGATGCTAACTATGATGCTAACTATGATGCTAACTATGATGCTAACTATGCTGCTAACTATGATGCTAACTATGATGCTAACTATGCTGCTAACTATGATGCTAACTATGATGCTAACTATGATGCTAACTATGCTGCTAACTATGCTGCTAACTATGATGCTAACTATGCTGCTAACTATGATGCTAACTATGATGCTAACTATGATGCTAACTATGCTGCTAACTATGATGCTAACTATGATGCTAACTATGCTGCTAACTATGCTGCTAACGCTACACAACAACACTGAGCCGTGTGCAGACTGGAGCAGCGAGGAGACGCTGTGCAACAGGCTTATGGAGTTAAAACTGTTCACAGTATACAGTGATGTTAATGGCAGCATCTTCAAACCATTTGCATTATTAAAAGCCTGACACTGTTTGACTCACGTCTCAAAGAGCAGTTCCGCATCATGTAGTGAATTGTGTTCTTTGGTTCCTACCTGATCCTCAGCGTCTGTTTGTCCCGTGGTTATTATAGATCCATGGTTTATCCACAATGCTGCTGTCAGTAAGTTGTGGGACAGAGTTATTATCATAGATCCATGTGTGGGACAGAGTTATTATCATAGATCCATGTGTGGGACAGAGTTATTATCATAGATCCATGTGTGGGACAGAGTTATTATCATAGATCCATGTGTGGGACAGAGTTATTATCATAGATCCATGTGTGGGACAGAGTTATTATCATAGATCCATGTGTGGGACAGAGTTATTATCATAGATCCATGTGTGGGACAGGGCACGGAGCGCACAGACAGAGTCTCTTTCGGCTTTCTCCTCACGCATTCTCCGACGCTGTTCCAATATTTAAAACAACGTGTTTGGCCTGTGTCATATGAGCTGATGTTGAAGGTGGTTTTGCTCTAAAACAAAGGCAAACAGAGGCAGAGCAGACATGCTGCACATACGAGCCCTCTGTTTTCCTCCGGTTCCGCGTCTATCCTCCGTGAGCTCTCGCTGTCCAATAGGAGCCGATCGTCACACGTGTCAATATGTTTATATAAAAAAGTTCACTTGCAAAAAGGACAGTCTGAATACGAACCGGAGCAAAAGAAAAAAGTTTGGTCCGCTTTTGATTCGGATCAAGCAAGCGGAGCAAAGGACTTTTCAGGTCTGAATACACCCTAAAACAGAACACATGGCTGGGTCGGAAAGGGCGTTTTCAGAAGTTTTTAATTAAAAACTCTCAGTAGAAAAACAGTGGGAAATTACAAAAACCGTATTTACAGAGCACAGTGAAAAGACTATCGGCAAAAAGGATATTTACTAGTGATGTGCTGAGCGGACCGAGTCTTCGAAGCGTGGACCGAGTAATCTGGGGGCGTTTCTTGTGAAGTGTGGGTCGAGGCGTGTATTGGTGACGTATGTGGTGACGTTCGAAGCCTCGCGTAGCGGCCGCACCACGTGACGGTTCATATAGTGCTTCATATAGTTCGGAGAGTGCATTGCTTTGACAGGTGCTTTGTGATCCGCGGCTGTACCATAGACTGTATTGGCTGTCCCCGTCTGCCTCTGTGTGCGTACGTGTGTGTGCGTGATGTGGAGCAGTCCTATACTAAGTATAGAGAAACTACTTCATATGAAATACAATTAAAAACTTTTCACTTTAGTAAAACCTCATATATCAAGGCTTCAAGTTATTAGTAATAATACGCTGGATAATACATTTCATAATAGCTGTGTGGCGCAGTCGGTATATGACGGACTCCGAAGCAGAAGATATATCGTTCGAATCCTGGTCTACACATAATACATTTTGTGTTGCAAAGTAAATGTATTTATTTATTGGGAATAAATGGTTTGTTGTGTTTAATTAATCCACCTCTTGGTAGTTTTTCCTCCATTAATCACTTTCTGTAGAACTGTATTACTTTGGATGTGTTTGTTGTATCAACACAATTGACTGAAAGACTCAAATAGTTCATAGTTCATGAAGCATCATTTCAAACACAACACGTTAGACCATAGATTGTAAATATACATTTTAACATTAGATCTCACCATTCATTGTAAGCACTTAAGAGTG